AAATAATTTGACAGGGATTTTACATGTACATGTTCTGCACTGCTAGAGAGACTTTCTCTGTTTATCTAAATTATGAGTAATAACACTAAATAATATATAATCCTATTGTCCTGGACAAACACGGTCATTCTGAATTTCGTTAAGCACAGCAGGAACTGGGGATGCTCTCTCAAGAAACAGACCCTGTAATTCCTGCTAAAATAAAACACAATTTGCTTTTAATGGGTAAATAAGAGCTTTCACTCAGATATTTGGAGTTGTCTAGTATTGAAGCAAGGCAGCTTTCAAAGCTGTGTTATTTCAAGGTAAGTTGTTGGCTGGGCACGATGCATCCCCGTAAGTGCCACGGGATGCCTGATTTATCCCCTCGCTCACAGCAGCCTTTGATGAGCTGAGCTGGAGACAGATTAAACCAGCATTAAGGCCCACACAGCACTCAGTTATGCTAAATCTAAGTACTATAGATTTACTTATTAAATACAAAGAAATGAGCAGGGTCTGACCTGCACTGAGATGACAGCGCGCTGAGACGTCCGACACCGCTCCTTGCTCACGTGTGTGACACTGACAGTGTCCCCTGGCTTCAGAAATGTCCCGTTATCCCACGGAGGTGAGCTCGCTCACCTGACCTCCAGAGAAGCCGAGTGTCATTCCAGTACTTATTCAAATTAGCTGTTATTAATTAAATAACACCTTTCAGCTTTCTTGGCAGATTTTCCCTCTGAAGTTGCAGCGGGAAGCTGGCGTGTGTCAAGATGCCAGGCAGAGGCGAGAACCTCAGGGTTATGTTTTCATGAACATGCACCTCGTTAAAGATTTTATCACTATGGGAAAATAAGAAATTTATGGCCATGTGTCTTTACTGTCTCCTCTTTTATGCCTTCCAGGTCCCCGTCACAGAAGCCCACTAACAGGTACTTTTAAACATGCCCAAAAGACAGGTCTTGTTCAGCAGAGCTTCGCTTGGGCTTAATTTTCTCTCTGATGTGGATCCTGCTGGAGTCCAAGGGATTTCAGTGTGTGCCTACACACCTTGTTGATCAGCAACAGAGAGCTGAAGCCCAGGTCTGGGGATCTCTCTACATGCAGATTTACAGGTGCTTGTTGGCAGCAGGGACTAGTTGGGGCAATATGGACTTTGTTCCAAACTGAGGGATTTAAACCCAACCCAAACGTGGTGGGTCCCACAGCCCTTGCTGCATCAGCCCCAGTTTAAGCAGCTGCAAAGCTGAGTGGGCCCAAGTCATCAAACACCTTCTCTGCACCCCCTGCACACGGGGTTTGCCTCTTAGAAAAATGAATTCATGCTGCCCTAACATTAAAGATTAAAAACAGCTCCATCTCATCACAGCTGGAAGATTTACTGGGAGACGATGACAAAAATGATGGCTTATTGGGGAATAACCTTGAATGCTGGCGCTGTGTGTTTTCAAGGCCTATTAATCACAATTTGGGTGTGAATACTTCTTCTTTCACTGGAGACAGAGAGAGGGGGGAGGCTTGGGGATTTCTGAGGTGGTTTGGTTAAAAGTGCCGGACAGAGCCTGCAGAACAGCACGGTACCAACTGCTAAGGTATATAGGTATATAGAACCATACATGAAGATACAGCAAAGAGGCTGCTCTTCCCTTTCTATAATCTACTGTATCCATGGGAACAGCTTACAACTTGATATCTACACAATAGCAACAGACAGAAATCCTGTGGTGCATGGAGAAAAGGTCAGGGGAGCGCCCCAGCCATGGCGGGCACGTGGGGCGGCACCCGCTGAGCATGTGGGGTCCTGGGGACACTCCACCCCAGCAATCACACCTTTAGTGAGCACAACATGGCTGTGGTGCTGCCAATTTACAGAAAGAAAAGCTAAAGAGCTGATGTGGTTTTTCTGGAGGGGAGAGATCAATGTGACCCATGCAGCAAGGGAAGCTGCAGCAGAGTGAAGGAGACCCCTCCAGGAGGTCCTAAAACTGGACGAGAAAAGCAAGGAGGAAAATCGTGGGGTTTTTTCCAGCTAGAGGTGTAAGCCAACCTTCTGTGGTGGGAAAAACAAAATTGGAAGTAAATAAATAAATCTCACAATGAAGGAAGAAGAAAAGAAAATAAATACCTCTCAACTACTTCTCATTAGTGGAGGAGTGTTTACTTGGGTGAATATTTTGCCTGTTCCCACAGCATCCCCACCACGGACGCGCCAGTTCTGCACAGCTAATAAGCTATCAGCAGGGAGGAATAAGACTATTAAATTTCTTAGCACACCTTGAACAGCCCATGGGGCTAACTCACATTTGGGAAATGAATACAAAACACTGACAAATGGTATTAATTAAGAAACAATGAGGATTTGCAAACAGAGGTCTGTGTACCAGAAACCTCCAAATTGGGTACACTATGCCTGAGTCAGCTCTCTACCCTGCCACCGTGATACTTGGCTGAGACCCACCCTAATACAATACCTGTGGAAACTGCCTGCTCGAAGCTGATGAAAGGCAACAGCAAGGTCCATCTGGGTTTTCCCCAGCTGCAGGGATTTGGTCTCCCCCTGCCCACCCAAGCAGGAGCTCCATGCCATCCTCCTGGGCAAGAGCAGGACCAACTTGCCCCAAAACACTGGCCTAAACCTCACCTTACCACAGAAGCAACATCACCAGCAACAGAAACAGCTCAACGGTGCTCTTGGTCTGCGTTCCTGCTGGGAGGTGGTCACTGCCCAGTGCGGGCTCTTGCCTTACCTAAGCCTTCCCGGTGGCTCCTCATGCCCACTAGCAGCATGGGTATGAGGGGAGCAGCACTGGGGGACATTTCAGCTGTACCTATATGTAGATTTATATACACAGAGATATTTTTTTGACTGGGCAAGAGTGAGTTCTGGAACCATAAGCTGCTCCAACAGCAACTGCAGGAGAACGTGACGCAGCACAGCCTCGTTATTCCTGACTACTTAATTACTGCTCACAATTGGTCTCTAAGGAACCTCTTGCAGCCATACCTCATGATCCAATAAGGGTTTTCAGGACACTCCTAACTAGTGGGCAAATGGAATCTGTTCCCACCGGGGCCCTGTCACACCTAGGGCCACGGGAACAATGTGGTGGAAGGGTGCAATGAGGAGAGCATGTCCTAGGGGTGGGAGGGGAGATGCTGGCAGAGAGGACCTTTCACGTCCCCGGAGATACAGTCCAGAAAATGCCTCCCTGGACTTACAGAGGGGGCATTTAATTTAAAAAACCCCAAAACACACAGGGGAAGGGTGGCTCCCAAGAGTTCCCCGAGAAGGTCTCAGGGCACCTGGCTTCCCCAGCAGCCTCCCCCGCGCTGTGCAGGGTTTGGGGCTCACTCACCTCCCACATGCAGTTTCTTCAGTTGCCATCCATCCCTCCCGGTGCTGTGAACTCCATCTGGCACCCGGGCTGCCGGGATGGATGCGTGCGCCGCGTGGGAGGATGAGGAGGGACAGAAAAATCTTCAGCCACTGGAGTCAGAGTGGGGAGAGAGAACCGCGCAGGGATCAGGCGGCACCAGGTTTTTATTTAACACTTAATCCCAATAATTTGCTCTAACGCTATAGTTCAAGCAGACACAGCCACACGCACAGGGAGTCTGACACCAATTACTCATTCATACAAAACTAGAGGGTTTTTTTTTTTTTGCTTCTAAGTGCAAACAATTTTCTGCAAAGTGTCAGATGAGCAATTACCTTCCTACGGGCCCGTGAGCAGCTTGACTTGTCCCATCGGGTAAATTTAAGGACTTCAGTCTCATAGGGCTTAGATCTGTAATCTAATTGTTAGTTTATCCTCAAATTCCATTTTAATTTATCACAATCCAGGCAACAGACACAGAATGAGCACAGCGGGAGGCCAGGACTGAAACAGGGGAGGAGAGAGACTGAAGGAGGGAAGAGAGTGGTGTTATTCAAGGAGGGAAGCCTGTGGTGTGACAGAGATTAAGATGGGGTGAAACCTTGCCAGATGACAAGGAGAGGTGTTTGAATGATGAGAACATGTCCTAAGGGGGCACTACACTTATTTACTGAGCTTTTATTGCTGTGGAGAACATCAGCCACAGGGCAATGCTATGAGGAGAAGGACCTCGCAGAGTGGCTGGGCTCTGCAGCTCACCCCACCACCTTGCCCATGCCATGCTCATGTCTCATGCCTCAGAGGCTCTGGAGAAGTTTCTCCACAGCCAATGAAGGTGTGATGGTTGCATTTAGAGGCCCAGAGTGATCGTGCCAAGAGCTGCTGCCACACCGGGCACTGTCAGAGGGACAGCAGGACCCCCTGGCAGCACAACCACTGCTGCCTGTGCTTTACCAAGCGCTGCATTTTCCTGCCCCAAACCAGTGTCTACCAAACCAACAGCACTTATTTTGACAGATTTCTTTTGGCAGACCTGCACTTGCTCACTGTATGAATGTGTGAACTCCCGGGCTCAAAAATGCAGCCACATGATGACAATCTCTCCAATGAATTAAAATAATTACTTTTCTAATTTGCCCCTAGACTCTGCTAAACCTTCTGGGGCCTTGAGGAAGGCGCGAAGTTTTTTTCACGTCTTCTGCTTTTGTAGGCAGACATTTTAATTTATAAAATGAATAATTCTGTATTTAATTAGTAGAGAGGAAAATTCCACTCGGGGACAGGGACGTCCCACGATGCTGCACAGAATTAACTGCACTAAATGACTCCCCAGCATAGGGGAACACAGCCGCGGGGGACAGCCCTCGCACCTCTGGGTGCGATTTTGGTGATCCCAAAGGCTTCCCTTCCAAGAAGGACTGAGAAAATAAGGGATCCATCAAGGAGAAGATGCAAAGGCAACTGGTTTTGAGCCACCAGAAACTGCTAACACCAAGCCCAGCAGACTACACCAGGCCCTGGGAAATGCACGATCTCCACTTGTGCAGTGCTTCCTTGGAGCCTAATTCCCACTGAACCGAGAGATCCCGGTGGAAAACTGATGGTTTATCTGGCTGAGGTGAACAGACGAGGACCAGCAAGTTTTGTCACTGGATGGTAGGGCTAGGTTGTGCTTTAATGCTTGAGCCTTCCCAGCAATAAACCTGTCACAGAACACTTACAAATGGGTTTCAAAATGAGAAAACAGGTGCTTGAGGGTAATACAAAATAAGGGTAAATACAACTGTGTCTACAAAAAGATGCCCTGGTTTTATAACTCAGTAAATTAGGAGTCAGTGACACTAGATAGACACTAGATAAACATTACTTGCTTATTTGAAGGAACTGGAGAGGAAATAATCCTGCTCCAGAGCTGTCTGGATACGCACCTGCAGTGAGGTCCCTTGGGATGGGTGTCAGAGTCAATGCAAATCGTGGTGCTGTGCCAGGACTTGGACCCTACTTTGGAGTGCTTTATAAATAATAAATAAGTATTAAATAATAAATAATAAATAATAACAAAAAGGTGCAACATTCATTACACAGTATGCTACAAATGAGTTAAAATTGTGTATATTCTATTTGTTTTAAATACAGTAAGACAAAACAAGCTCAAATATACCAAGAATCCCTGGAGGGTTTTGTTCTGCAGAATGAAAATTTTCAGAAAGGTTTAAAATAACAAGGACAGAAATAAAGTTTGGAGAAAGCTCTTTCTCCTGTGAGGTGACAACTCGTGGCTTGCACAGGAAGGAGCACAGCCTTTTCCTTCCCTGCCCTTTGTTTTCAATCAGAGTGATGCTCTCACTCTGGCAGCTGTCTAGGACCAGAATGCCAAAGTGTCATATGAAAATGTAAAACTTAAAACCCCCAAATAAGGTTTGTACAGACACAAAAAAGCAGCTAAAATACTGTATTCTTGCCAAAATTAAATAAAAGCCAACTACTTTCCTATGCTGGACTAATGCCATTAATTTCAGCCACTTCACTTTATAGCGGGGTGGGATCTTGCCTTTCACCAAAATAACTTGCACTTCTGGCCATGATCTCCCCTAAATCCTGTGCCTAATACTTCCTATGGGAATGTTTTAGCTAGTTTTCCACTCAATGCTGCAGTGATTCTCCCAGTTGCTCTTCAGACCTCCAGTCAATGGGATGGTGGAGGAAAAGCGGGTGCCTGAGCCACCCAACAGCCCGGACACCCCAGGGCTGCGGTGCCTCCAGTCTGACAAGGGGGATACTTAAGCAACAGTTTGCAAGTGGCCATGGAGAAACAACAACCTGCTTGTGTCTAAGCCTGCTGAGGTATAGTCAGGAGAGATGGCTATTTCCCATTGCAGCCTGGTTAAAAGTGATACCCAGTAACAAGAGATATCAATCAGTAAATACTGAATCAAGACACAATTTACATTTTTCTAACGATGGCTATTTCTCGGAAGTTTACACAAATCTTTTACGCTTGTTGGCACTTAGGCCAGTAAATCTATAATTAAATGATACAGCCAAATGCACAAACTTTTGCAGTCTACCTAAACCAAAAAATATGGGTTTTTTTTTAGTTCTACTCTATTTTCTTTTTTCTGCTCTAGAGTCCAGCCCTGGATTTATCCCCCAGGCAGAACTGCTGTTTGCTCAGCGGGATGAGCTGAAAGAAGAGGACTTTGGAGAGATTTAGTTATGTAGGGAAGAATAAAACAAAACAAAACCAAAGGAAGGGACATATCCCAATTCTCTAGGTTACATTATTGGTTATATAACCAATCTCCCTGGTTATATTTACGCTCCTATAAATAGAGAATTGCCCCAAAAGAGTGGCCTAAAAAAATAAATGACAAAGGGAGTGGGGAGTTGGGGACCGTGGGCACCGGGTGGGAGCGGGGCCGGAGGGGCTCAGCACGGGGACGAGGACATCTGGTCGTAGTCGGGGCACTTGAGCAGAGCCGGGTAGTTACTGTTCATCTGCAGGGAGGCCTCGCTGGAGATATCCGAGGGGCTGCGTCCCCGCGCCCACGCGTCCGGGTGCAAGAACTGCCCCGAGTAGTCGGAGCAGTTGCTCAGACGGGGCCGGTAGAAGCTGGGGTGAGGCCTGTAGATGTCCTCCGCCGTGTACCGCTTCATGAACAGGTAAACGGACATCACCCCGGCGCTCTGCAGGGGAGAGAGACACGGCCTGATGCTCACCCTGCTAACAGCTGCCTTCCCCACCACCACCTAAACAGCAAAAATGTAAATTTTTTGCTCTGCTGACGATGCACAAGGGCCCCCGAGGAGAGTCACTTCACTGCCCTGGGTTTCTGCAGTAAATAACATCTCCTCCTCTGCATCCAAACCGTGATCAGGTGCCCCATCAGTGCTCCAGGCCTGGGGTCTGTCCCCACTGTGTATGTCTCCCACCCTACTATATATCTGCCCTCATAGCCTACCCTTAAACCCCATCTCAGTCCTCCTTTTGGTCACAGCCCCCGTGCCCCCCCAACCCCTGAGAAGGGGATACACACGTTACAGGGATGTGAGAGCTCTGGGTACCTCTGTGAGAAGGAACGAGATGGCAGAGAAGGCAAACGACCACCCATATTTGTAATTGAAGAACGTTTCCGAGTCCTTGGTCCTATTCAGCATCTCATCGTTGATGCTGGATATGTAGAGGACCAGCCCCACCACGAGGGACAGACCTGGGGAGAAACCAAGGAGAAAGAGGGTGGGAAACACTTCAGGGATGAAACTGCTGAAGAAGCACCTTCCTTTAAGACCTGACTTATGGGTGAAAGTGTAAAACTGTGGAAGTGTGCTTGAAATAATTGGGGAAAGAAGCTGCTTTCCTGCTGAGCTAACCCAGGGCACTCCTCGAATTTCACTCAAACCGTTACCTGCTCAAGCAAGTCCATGTGCATCGGGTAGGAGCTGGCTTCAAAGCTCAGCTGTCACAGCTATTTGTTTAACACTAGCACAACACCATGAATAAAACATTCACTTGTCTCATAGAGAAACATCCCGGCTGAGCGGTTTGAAGTTTCAGATCTCTGCTGCGCCCGACGTGCCGTGAGAGGCGTCCTCTCCCCCAGCACCTGCTCCTGGTGGGTGCTTTCCCCCACATCTCCTCACCACTGCCACAGGCAAGTCTTGCACTGGGGGATTTTTCATCCTGCAGAACCCAAGCAGGCTGCGGGGCCGAGCTGGGAGCCCCCATGAGCAATGACGCCAACGAGGAGCCACCACAGCAGGTTAGGAGAGCACCAGCAGCTACAAAAGCCAACGTACTCCATGCTTGAGGATTTTCAGGAGAAAAGCTGGATAGCAGAACTCACCCGACAGGATGAAGAATATCCCCGAGACGAAGGCGAGGATGGTCCTGTGAGGCCGAATGTGGCCGATGTTGCTCAGGATGAAGCCAATGAACATGAAGAAGAGGCTGACCAGAGGGAAGGGGGTGGCAGAGCGGATCATCTCTAGGGTGAGAGGAGCAGAGGAAAGTGAGAACAGGGCAACCCTCCCACACAGCACAAGAAACGGGTGAGATGGCTCCAGCCCTGCTGCCCTCTGACCAGGCCGTGTCCTTCCTCACCTCTGGTTAGTGTAGGTGCCCCTGAGCTGCTCCCCAGGCCCTGGCAGGGGTTCCCCTCTCTTATGTGTCTTTGCTAATGAGCTGAGTGAAGAGGTGACTGTCTCACTGCTGAAACCTCTGTTAATGTCTGTGTTTCCAGTAGTTCCTATGTGAAGTGCTATGCGGGGAAAAATCATCAGAACCTGCATTTTTCTCTAGCTTCACTGCAAAACTGTTTGCTGAACACTTTGATTTATTAAATCAAAAATGACTGCAGAATTCATCATAAGAGTTGTGACACTCCATCCTTAATTCCTCCCACTCTGTAAAGTGTAAAATTGATTGCTACAGAATAAATACAGCTGCAAATTATGGAGAGGAGACTATAAAGCCAAACACTTCCATAAACATCAGTGCTGAATAGCCTGTGAAAGGAAATTGTACAGCTTAGAGCCTCTGGGAGCACCCTGCCATTTGAAAGGGACATCCCCAAGAGCTCAGGAGCACACTGGGTGACTTAAATAGTGAAAAATGTAGCTGCCTCTTTGCATGGCAGCACCACCAAGGAACCAGGAGCTTCTCCAGCGAGGACTCAAAGAGGATTTCTTGGGGGGATCCCTAGTGACCCTCCGGTGCTTTGCAGGATGCAAAGACCCCACTGAAGCACTCACTCAGGACGTTGACTGTGGATTCAGACGTCAGCTGGATGTTCATGGGCATGACGTACTCGATAGTGAAGCACCGGCCACGCTCTTCCCCTGCAGCAAACAGAGACCAAGTCACACCCGCAGCATGTTTGTCTGCTTATTTTCAGTGGAGGGGGGGAGAGAGTGGCTTTAAAATTAATTTCAGTGCATACATAACAAAAAAATCTTGCTATTTAGTGCCGCTTCCATCTGGGGCTGAAGACAGACATCTCTTAACTACTATCTCCCCTGTGCAAAAGGATTCCTTTGTATGCAAAAATGTGAACCCCGAGGCCAGAGGATTTAAGGGGACCCCAGGGACAGTATCAGATCTCCTCACTCCAACTTTTTCAGTGCAGCAGTCGAAACTTCATGACATTTCAGATCGGTCACTTTGAGATTCCTGTTCCCTTGGGTTTTGTTCAGCTCCATCCCCGCAGCCAAATCGCTGCATCAAACTTGGCGCAGACAGAGGGAACGGTCCAGCTGACCTGAATCTCAATCTTGCAGGGACAAAATGGAAAGTTGTGAGCTGCTGCCCGAGGCAGGACGGGGGGTGGCGGGGTCTGGCACAGCAGCAGCAAACTCACCCAAAACCTCCATGCAAAGGCACACTTATCCATCTGACTGTTAGGGCTGGAGTGATGGCAATACTCAGGTTGTGCCTAAGTTTGGAAGCAAAGACGGGCACAGCTCTAAACAGCCCATCTTCCCCAGCCCCTCCCCATGGAATGACACCCACAGACAGCAAACATCACCTTACAGGGGACGTTGTGGGGAGGGAGGCCGTACCTGCCAGAAAACAGACCCTCCAGAGCCCTGAGTGCAGTGACAGTTTGATTTCGGCTGTCTGGTTTTGGGGCTGGACGATGCCCTCCTCCAGGTAGAGCCAGTAGTCGGTGCTGACGGAGATGCCCAGGAGGCCGAGGCCGCAGACGGCGAACACGCTGCTGAGCAGGGTCAGCGCCTTCCTGCCGCAGGTGCTCATCCCCAAAAGCATGGGGGGCCGAGGTAGCGGGGGGACGGCTGCCGGGAGAGGGGACACGGCCATCAGCACAGGGACATCTACTGCTTTTGGGGGGAGTGGATATGTTAAAGCTTTGCTCTCTGCCCTTAATTGCTTATTTAGGTCGAGCTGAAATAAGCCATTAAAACAATCACTGTGTGCCCTGACAGATGGAGAGTTTGAACCAAATCCCACCCGACTGCTGCCCCACGCCTCGAGGATGTGCCGGGTGCTGGCACCAGGGCGGGAGCGATGCGGGATGGCCGGGAGCAGCTCCTTGGCTCCCGTTTGATCTGCTGGAGGTGAATTCCTGCTGCTCCGGCCCAACCCGGTGCTCATCTCCCCAGGGATGTAGCCAAACCGCAGCATCTGCCACCCTCAGAGCCTTATCCAAGGGCAGCAGCACCAGCCACGTCCCCTCACACAGGAGCCTGGTGAGGCTCAGGGACACCACCTCAATGGATCAACAAAAATACTTACAGCTGCCAGAACGAAACCCACTCCTGAGCAGCTCTGGCCACCTCCCCACTCCCCCCAGCGTGGCCATCTTTCCTCTTCCAGAGTCAATTTACCCACTGGGGGATCAAGACCCTAATTTTTCAAAAAACATGCTACACTTATGCTTGCTAAATGACCTCATCAAACACCTCGAAGTAGAGCAGCAAGACACAATGGCCTGCCTTTTCTGCTCTTTATTTCACTTGCTGGATCAGAGCCGCAAGCACCGGTGTCAGCTGAACACAGAGACTGAACTGGTCCAAACTGGGCTTGTGCTTCAGGGGGAGGCAGAGAAATGGGGCCAGAGAGCTGCAGTCAGACCCTGGGAAAACATTACAGAAGGTGGAAAAAAATCCTTCCCTCATCCTCCATGCTGCTTATGGATGGAATATGGTTGGGGTTTTTTTATTTTTGCTAATTTGTGGAATTTAGCAGTTCTCACGGTGCCCTGCAGACTGACAAAACGTCACGAGAAATCAGAGTTCTTGTTGCAGCAGAGAAAAGGTGCAATTAGTATAGGGGGGAAAAAAGCTGCAGAAATGAAAGATTAGAGGAATAAGAGAGCAAGAAGGAAAAGATTCATGCAAGAGATGGTCTTCTGGGGAGTGGGAATGAGGCAGATAGCACTATTGACTGCTTTTATAAAGGCAGTATGAATCACAGATAAGTGCCGTGTCATGTATATTTTCTAAGGCACATTTTGCTGTTTAACACAGCAGACAATAAGGAAAAGATGAAATCCAGCCAGACAACAAAAGCTGCCAGATTTCACACAGCAGCGGTGGGATGCACCTTCCTTGGGCTCCCTTTAAAATTGCTCGTTCACACCACGTGAAGTTTCAAGGGACAGGCAATGGGAGAGAGCTGGGGGCAGAGCACGGCCTCCCCCCGCTGCGTCCCACCACCTGGAGAGGGGGGCAGAGTCCTCCTAAACACGTTTTGTTTGACACCCCTATTCCCAAAATAATGAGGGATAAACAATAGCCCTGGGACACAGCTGTTGACCATCTCCCTGGGTGCCAGCTTTTGACCCGGGGCAGAGCAGCTCCATCACGCCGTGCCCCCGTGGTGCCACCACCGCACACGCTGGTGAGTGGGCTCCTGGGAAGAGATCTGGATGCTGTTATCACTGTGACAAAGCTGGTGGGATTTAATGATTAAATCAGGAGATGCATCTCTTGCCCAGGCCGGGAGGTGACGGCTGGCTGTTCTGACACGTCTGAGCAGATTAGAGAAGGGCTTCATTTCTTGCACCTCTGATATAAATATATTAATACTTACTTGCTTACAGTGGCTCTCAGAGATGCCAAGAGTCCTCACAGCTTGCACTTTTACACTTGAAAGCCTCCAAAGATAATGTTCAGCCATAGTTCCCATATGATTAATGCAAGCAGCTGATGCTGAGAGCTGGTTCTTGCTGCTGATCCCAGAGAGAGCCGGGGTCTCCGGGGAGCTCCGTGCTCCCGCAGAGCCCATCCCCAGCACATCCACTGCACAAAGGCACGGCCCCAGCCTCCCCCACCGCCTCCTGCAGCAAGTTCCACACAAGACTGATGTGAAGGAACCTTGTAGTTACTGTGGAGTCCAAATGACTGCATTTATCAAACAGATCCAACACACCCAAGGCCTGTATGCACCTCCAGCTCGTTGCTCTGGGCAGTCTAACAGAGAAAAGTAGGGAATGTTGCTGGAAGAGTTGCAAATTCTTCAGAGAAAGGGAAAGAGACTTTTATTATCATATCCTACCCTAACTCCAAAGCAGACAAGTACATCTCGGTAGGAAGCAGATGTACTTGCACCCTCAAGCACTGAAACTGCGCTGACAATTCCCTTCCATATGAAATTAAGGATTTGGCTCTTCGTTTCCCAGAAGGTACCGACCTACAGGAAGGGGAGTGCTGTCGCTCACGGACAGCCTGAGCAAATGCTCACACTGCCCGAGCTTTCCACACTTGGCTTTGCTAACTATCCTCATTTTTGATGTTCTTATTTAACGTTTCCCTCAGCTCAAGAAAAGCAGGATGTGTTCCCAGGATGGACACCTCCCTGCTAGGGGTGTGAGGAGTGAGATGCCCAGATTTTCTTTCCCTGAGGATTCAGGAGGCAGCAGCGAAAGGAGAAACTGGTAGCCATGGGGCAGAGAAACAGGTCCTGCAAAGGTAGCCCTGCACTGTCAAAGGGAGACAGCACAAAGCTGTAGATGCTGGGACACCACTTTACCCCTTCACTAGATGGGAATATGCCATTTCCCAGGGAACAAGCCATTTCCCATCTCTTTATAGATGCCATTTCATCCAGCTATATGACCAAAGCACAGATCCTCTGGCTCATCTGTTCCTTTCCCTAACTCACTCAGAACCATATTTTCTAGTTGTTGCCTCAAAATGAACAGTATTTACTACTGGGTGTCTCATCCCTCTTGGCATTTTGGTTCAAAAATGGTAAAAGGAGCTGGAATCTATTCTTGGCTCATGTATCATCAACAAAAGTCCTCCCTGCACATTTTCTGTTAATGAGGAGCCAAAAATCAAAGTAGAGAGTATGTGAAAATCCAGATAAAGCCATTCAGGAGGAAATAACTATGTATTTCCTATGATTTGTTGTCCATCAGCACCAGGCACTGGAAAATATACCCATTTGGCATCATTTATATTGGTCATTGTGGTGATGCTAGCAGCAGGGAGAGGGTCAGGCGTCAGAGTCACGCCTCTCAATTGCCTCATTTCTTTTCTCTCTCACACTTCAATTTCCATGTAATCACGGATGCATTAGAGAGTGATCCCTATTACTGTCTTGCCGGCACATAAAATCGAGCGGATGCGGTGGGGGACGGGAGGCAGGGATGGTGCAGAGCAGCCGCTCGGAACAAACCTTCCTCCATATCCAGCACCTGGAGAATTAGCAGGGCTCCCAAAAGGAAGATTTTTCAAGGACATGATCAGAAGCTTGACTTTCAGCAAGGATTTAGTCCCCAGTAACTTTTACCAATTGTGTTGTGCTTCCTACAGCACAGAAAAGGTGATGCTGTTTGGTTTCCAACAGTAGTTGTATTTTAAATGAAATTAATATAGCCCCAAAGGTTTCTAGGAACTAGAACCTGAGAACTGTTCCTGCTCCTTCAATCGCACCATTCCTTCTGGTAGTAGTCCAGGGAATAATAAAGGCAGTCTGCAATGAAATCTGCAGTCCTCATAATGAATTTCTTTTTGTCTTGGAGCCATAGCTTCTGATGGGAATTGCACACGGCCTTTGCTGGGACTGACCCCTTCTGAAAATGACATGAATATTGGCGTTGTGCCTAATGAAGTTGACCCAGATCTAGGCGTGAGTTTAAGTCCTTACCTATTGCTCCATGGTCACAAAAAGAAAATATTATCCTAGTTCAGATTTCTGAGCCTACCACTCCATGACCTAATGCTGAGAACAAGCCACCACTCTGGGCTACATGGATGGACTAAGAAAAATAAATATATCCCTGGTCAACTGCCTGGACAGGATGGGTCGTATCAATAAATCACTGCTCAGAGTTCAGCAGAAAACAACGCTCCTTCCTGCCCTGGGTAAAGGCAGAAAGAGCAGGGCCAAGTCAGGCCAAGGAGGCAGCTATTGATTTTTATGTGGCTAGAACATCATTTCCAATTTCCTGACATTTGTGAGGAGGGGAAGCACAGCCAAGGTTATCGGAGCAGATGGGAGGGAAAGTTCTGTTTGTGGAGGGGTGCTGGGATCCAGGACGAGCCTGGTGACTTGCCTCTGTGGTTGTCAAAGCCTGGTCCCTGCCACAAGCCAAGGGCAGAGGGAAATCAGAGGTTAAACGATGCACCTGGAGCAGTGGGAGAGGCTGAGCAGAACATAAAGGAGAAGGAACAAAGTTTGGTGGAAGGGGGGTAGGAAACCCACTGAGTGAGCGATCGATGTACAAAGAACATCAGGGACCTGGGTAAGAGCCGGGAAAGGCAGGAGAGCGTGAGCTGTGATGGAGCTGAACTGAAAGGGCCAGCTCCCACTAAGCTCTGACAAGAAAATTGGGCTGGCTAAAAATAAAGGGCCTTCAAGCAGCACGATCCCTTCCTCGGGACACAACGCAGGCCACGAACGTGGGCAAAAAACAAATAGGTCAAGGAGAGCGGCTCTTTCAGAAGTCAACTTTTCAGAGCCAGCAGTGCTCAGGCAGGGCTGTGCTGGGGGGTGGTCGAGGTCACCACCACATCATCACCCTCCTCTGGGCAGCTCAGTGTCACCCTAGATCCCTCACGGGCAAATCCAGAAAATGTTAATTTGGTCATTAATGACCACAATGGAATAGGAAGGCGATTGCAAAATGGCATAGCAGCTCCCACTGAGCTTATGGAGCACTCAAAGGGTGCAGATGCTTTGGTCCTATAACGACATGTGCAAGATGCAGCCCGAGTCCAGCTGGCTTGAAGTGATGCTCTGTCGGTTTGCAGAGAGGGCTTTATCCATGGGAGGAGCACATGGTGAGATGGCTTTAGCCACAGCCAGGCGTGTGCAGCTCAGCAGAGGAGAGGAAGATGAGGAGACAGTGTGGGCAGTGCCCCCTGCTCCATCTGGGGACCCAGGAGAAGCAGCTCCACAAACCTGACCTGGAAAACTGGGCGGTTGGGACAGATGGTTTTGGAATTACCGCTTGGGAAGCAACAGTCCCTCCTGAAGCTTGGAAAAGGTGTACTGCAGGAAGGAGAGAAACACGAGACTGCTCTGCTTTGGTATAACAGCTGAAGGAGAGCAGGGATGGCAGCAGAGAACAGCAGTATCTCCTGGGCTGGTGTGCTGGGAGGGAGATGGGCAAAGGGGATGTATCTGGAGCTGGTCCGTAGGGTTCCCAGGAGCCCTGACCTGGGACCTGCCGGCACCTGTCACCTCACGCGGCTCATGGGAAGACAGAAACGTCTAATGCAGCTTCACAGAGCTGCATTAGTGTCATATAAAAATGTCAGTTTGATTTCTGAGAGAAAAATTATGTATTGGAAAAAAGTAAGTACAGAAATAAATCTTTTTGATGTGAAAGAGGTTTAGCCTGATATTAAGAAATGAAACAGTCCATCTCATGGCAGTTTGAACAAGCGCTAGTAAGTGCGACTACGAGCAGCCATAAACTTCAAAAGGATCAATACTGGACTTGAAAGCTTCCCCTGGGCTGCTCTCAGTGGCCGGCCCCGTGCAGCTCTGCCCTGATGGCCGGGCAGAAACATGGCACCGCGTCAATCGAGCACACTGGGCTCACAGGCTCTCTGGAGAGAGTTTAAAAAAAAACAAAACAAAACACAAAAACCACCAACAAAGAAAATCAAGGCTGGTTATGAGTTATTTAAACCTATTTTGAGCCACAGCAATCATAAACCCGTTAATTTTTTGCCTGGCATCAGACACAAGAAACACCTGAAAAACAATTGGAGGAAACAATGTGTGAGTGCCACAGACCGGAATGCTCACCACTAATTCTGTGAGTGGGGCTGCATGTTTTTTTTTCTTAAACTTGACTTCCATAACCAAATACAAGGACCTCAAATGATATTCCCAAGCTCAAAGGAGCAGCAGCTGAGATTTATTTCCCCTCCCCAGCCCTCAAACCAGATGCTTTCCCGACTGGGCCGCCGCTGCCGTGCTGCCGCACTCGCTGGGGCGATGGCTCCACTCCAGTTCATTCACACTAATGGCTTTGGATGATGCCAGCAACTTTCAACAAATAAAATCATCGACCAAATAGCCCCTGCGGTCCCGGCTCCGGCCGCCGGCACAGCCCGTGTGTGTACAGCCAGTGCTCATTCACGTGGGCTTTCTGGATCCACAAATACCCCCCCCCAAGCTCTTATAGAGCACATCCCACCTGCGTGTCTCCTTTCTCCTTGGTTTAAGGCTCTTACCTCTTTTAACCCCAGCTGGAGTGATGCTTTGGCAAGTGGAAAACCTGTGAGGTTGGCTGTGAAGGCGGGAAGCTCAGGTTCTGGCAGAGTGACTGCGAGGCAGCGTCCCAGCGAGGAGGGTTCCCAATGGATGCTTTGGCTGCTGGGTGGCTCTGGGAGGAGCTGGGAATGGGGTGGCTTCGGCAGTGGGCACGGGAGAGCTGCTGGGCTGTAGGAGAGGGCACAGCCTCGGCTCTTCACCTCCAACCAACTCACACGAGGAAAGCACGAGGCTGGGACGCAGGGAAAGGCAGACGGCAGTCACGGCTCTGCATCCACACACCGACAGCTCCTGCCCTGTGGTTTTGTAGGAAAGTGTTACACAAAGTGTATTTCTTAAGAGGGAAAGAGGAGCTAAAGCTCTGAGCTTGCAATATTGCCTGTGCGCCCAAGTATAGTTCTCCAGGTCAAAACTATATATAAATTTGCATCACTAACAATAGCTGAGCCCTTCCCAACACCCTCTCACCCTCTGCATATCAAAGCTGACACACAATATTCACCTCCTTGCAGTGTGTCAGAGCACTCGCAGTCAGGGACATGAGTCAAACTGCTGGTTTCAATACCCTACAAAGAGCTACAAAAACAGTATAAAAGGGGGAATATCTAGTGCTGCGAAGCAAACCAGCTGGGGAGTTTGCTCTCAGAGCTGCAGAACTCTGGTTGCCGTGGGCTGTGCCTGCCCATTAACTTCTGCACACTTCTGTACATGACAGGTTGTATTTACATCCTAACTACACAACCTCCAGAGCCCGTGTGTGTACAGCCAGTGCTCATTCACGTGGGCTTTCTGGATCCACAAATACCCCCCCCCCAAAATCTTATAGAGCACATCCCACCTGCGTGTCTCCTTTCTCCTTGGTTTAAGGCTCTTACCTCTTTTAACCCCAGCTGGAGTGATGCTTTGGCAAGTGGAAAACCTGTGAGGTTGGCTGTGAAGGCGGGAAGCTCAGGTTCTGGCAGAGTGACTGCGAGGCAGCGTCCCAGCGAGGAGGGTTCCCAATGGATGCTTTGGCTGCTGGGTGGCTCTGGGAGGAGCTGGGAACGGGGTGGCTTCGGCAGTGGGCACGGGAGAGCTGCTGGGCTGTAGGAGAGGGCACAGCCTCGGCTCTTCACCTCCAACCAACTCACACGAGGAAAGCACGAGGCTGGGACGCAGGGAAAGGCAGACGGCAGTCACGGCTCTGCATCCACACACCGACAGCTCCTGCCCTGTGGTTTTGTAGGAAAGTGTTACACAAAGTGTATTTCTTAAGAGGGAAAGAGGAGCTAAAGCTCTGAGCTTGCAATATTGCCTGTGCGCCCAAGTATAGTTCTCCAGGTCAAAACTATATATAAATTTGCATCACTAACAATAGCTGAGCCCTTCCCAACACCCTCTCACCCTCTGCATATCAAAGCTGACACACAATATTCACCTCCTTGCAGTGTGTCAGAGCACTCGCAGTCAGGGACATGAGTCAAACTGCTGGTTTCAATACCCTACAAAGAGCTACAAAAACAGTATAAAAGGGGGAATATCTAGTGCTGCGAAGCAAACCAGCTGGGGAGTTTGCTCTCAGAGCTGCAGAACTCTGGTTGCTGTGGGCTGTGCCTGCCCATTAACTTCTGCACACTTCTGTACATGACAGGTTGTATTTACATCCTAACTACACAACCTCCAGTAACCCAATGATTCACTGACCCTCTTCTGGCTTTGGCCTAGCGATTCCCTCCGCTCACCTTGGCTGGTGCAGAGGGAACCTGGGCAAACCCAGCAGCAGGGACAAGCAACGTACCCTCACTGGGTACAGCAGGGCTGGGGGAGCTGCCAGCAGCCATCTCCCACCAGGGCCACAGCTGGTCTGGTCTAGAGGAATAGTGAATCTTTAACGGTTGGGTTTTGTTCACTGCCACACGTCATTTAAGATGGGTCAAAGTCCTGCAATGGCCTTGTATATTAAATTCCTTGCATAACGACAGCTTTTCAAGGTCTCTGTGTCCTTCCACCAGCAAGGCAGGTCACAGCAGACTGAAGATCTCAGGCACCTTTTCCATAACATACTTATGTTGCTTTAACCTGAAGTGGGTATGAACAGAACCCACAAAAGCAGTGTGAGCCCTGCAGGAGCCATGAATTATGAACACCAGTGCATGAAATTTCCCTGGGCTACAAACTTCTGCTGCTTCAGAAGGTCTAGGAGCAAGCCCCAGTTCCCAGCCCAGGTTTCAGGAGATGAAGTTGCTCCCGCCAGGGAGAGAGGGGCTCACACCCCTGCTTCTTTCTCTTCCCCTTAACAATCAGCACACCACAGCTTGAGCTAAATTAAGCAACGCTGGGAGGTAAAAAATAGCATCAAGAGCTAATTAAAACCCTTCTGCCTCCCCCACATCAGTGGTGGGGAGAGGGAAGCTGAGGGTACCTGTGCTGTGAGGCACGCAGCCCGCCGCGGCTCTTCCCCCGCCACCGCAGCTCTTCTCACCAGCGCTGGCAGCTGGAGTGTTTTTATGAACACTTTCCGTGTGATAAATGAGAGAAAGCAAAAAATCCCCCAGGCGCCGTTGGCGTCTCTGAACGTCGAAGGCTGCAGACAAGCAGCACATTGGGCAGGCTGCACGTGCCACCATGGCCACCAAGACCTCCATCCCCTAGCGTGATTAAACACGACTGCTAGTGCTAAGCGGACACCTTGTTATCCAGGAGATTGCATTCCCTGCTTCTAGAAACCAGCTTTCCCACAAAGCCTCCAAGTACCGAAAGGTTGGCATGAAGAAAGCAGAGAAGGGCTGTATCATCCACACCTCAGGCAAGCATCTTAATAACCTCACCTGCCTCCGGTACAGTCTGTGGTGTCCGACTTGAGCTTCACCTTGGTTAGGTATTTCCCAAATAGTTATTTTTTTTTCTTCTGTGAGGTATTGTATCTCAATCCCTGAAGTGCTATTCATTACAAGAGAGGTGGCTCAGCTTTTGTATGGGATGTGGCACCCAGGGTGTGACTTTGTCCTGGGAAAGGAAAACTCTTTTTATCTGCACATGTGTAAGCAATGGTTGGAATGTCTCACCTAGGCTTAGCATTATGGTACCAACCTCTGTTGCTGAGTTTCTAATAACCAAACCAATACAGAGAGTCTCCTCCAATCTGCACCCAACTTTCTGACTCTTGCAAAAGGGGAGGCTTCTACCCACCATGCTCACAACTCTGCTGTCCCCACTGTCCTGCCAGATGGAGAAGGCAGAGGGACATGGATGCCTATCCAGGACTTTGCTGCAATCCCCTGCTCAGGCCATGTCAACCAAACAGACCCCACCACACCTCTCCAAGATGAGCAAAGCTGTTCCCAGCCAGCGCTGTGGCAGAGAAAAGGGACATCTGTTGTAACCAAGCACCTAATCTCCCCCGAGAAGAAGCCAGGGCCACGGGGCTGCCCACCTGTAGGGCTTTGAGGCCAAGAAAGGTCCTGCCCAGGCAGACCTGAGCCTCTGCTCACTGCGGGCAGGGACATCACCCAGCAACACTGCACGAGCACCGAGTGGGAAAAGGAATTATCCACAAGTCGTCTTGGGTCAGTGGATGCCATCTGCTGTGCTGCTCCAACAATCCCCCTTCAGTGCAGCTGTGAGCACTGCTCTAACGAGGTTTTTCACTGATGAGCAATACCTCCCTCATAATAAAGGAAAAGCTGCAAGTCCTGTCTTCCAGAGCCACCAGACACAAACCCCACTCACCTGTAACAGCCTGACCATGCATCAGTGTGGTTCTTTGACAAATTCCACTTTCCCAGTAAATGTTTTACTATAAATGTCAGCAGTTTGTGACTATACAGATATAAAATTGGTGTGATTTGATTCCAAATCCTCTTCCTAGAGCACACCTAGAACCCAAACCCCCTTTAATTTCAGTGAGATTGAGACTCCCTTTGTCCCAGACTCCATCATCTAGTTATTTTAAAAGTGCCACCTTAAAACCAGGGCTTTAAACCTTCCCAGCTGACTTATGAGAAGCTCCTGGCGCTCACTCCAGCCATGCACTTGCGCAGCTCACAGCCTGCCCCGGCTGTTGAAGCCTCTGTGGGCTTTTGAATTATTTCCCTTCTGCATTTTATATTCCCTTTCCTCTCCATAAGTGAAGCCGAAGCTGCAAATGCTGCGGTATGGATGCTGCCAGGTGGGGATTCATTCAGCTCAATGAATATATTCAACAGCCACAATAATACAGCAAGGGACTGGAAAAATAAACACACAGAAGCATTTATGTCCCCTGGACGCCACGTGGAGCAGCCGCAGGGTGGCTGAGGGGAGGTGAGGGCAGCAGGATGGGCTGCTAGGACCCAGTCTCCTGCCCTGTGGCTTTTTATGTGGGTCACCATGTGACAGACTGAGATGGTGCCCCTAAAATCCAGGAGCAGCAGAACCTCTGAAGGGAACCCAAATACATGACACTTGTGAAACCAAAGGGCAGAAGCAATGAAAATGGGGGAACGCTCCCCCAGCAAAGCTGCCTGCCTGGGTCACACCACTGGCACCCACTGCTAGTGCACAAAACTGAGTGGAAATACTCATCAAGAATGCTGAAAAGGAGTATTTCAGCTGAAAAGGAAGTCGTGGTATTTTCAGTGAATGCAACACCCTTACTGCCCTTCCCAGGACACCTACCAGCTCCAGCGGGGCCTCCTCCTCGTTGCCCTCTCCCCACTGAGGTTTGGGGGTGTGAGGGACACGGGGTGGTGGGGACAGAGGTGCTGCAGGTCAGACCCGCTCTCCAGACACCACCGAGGAGGCTCCTGATGCTTTGTGTCTGGAAGACCCAGCCCTAAAAGCTGCAAAAAGCAGTGTGCCTCAGGGGCTGATGAAGTTTTACAAAATGCCAAGCAATTAATCAACAGCCAAACAGGGTGTCTGAAACCCCCCCTGCTCGCTGCTGCAGCGGCTGAAATACCACATTTCACATTTCACCACCTTTCACAGGATATGAATAAGTAGCATGTGGAGCAGTGAAGACAGGCTCCATGTCCCCAATCGCCTGTTCATATGGTAACACATGATCCAGCATTTTTTTTCCCCCCTCTCTACTTTACTTCACTTAACAACCAGGTCAGGATTTTCTCAGATAGCTTCACTTGAATTCCCACTCCCCTCTCCAAGGGATTCACTACTCTGAAAAACATCGGCAGCAGATTTTATATTCCCTGTGAAAAATCCCCTTCCTTCCCTCAGCCCAGCGTTCAGAAGTGACTGGTGAGGACAGGGCTGCTCCCAGCGCCCGGGAGATGGGCTCTTGTCTCCTGGGGGAGGAAGAGCCTTGGGATGAA